CGACGATGACGGCGACGACGGCGACGTGGATCGGGACACCGTAATGACACGAAGCACCGCGACACGTAACCGCGAACACCGACACTCGCGGTCGAGGCACCACGCCGCTAAATTTTATCTACAAGATGTCTGTCTCTCTGCTTCTCCGCGGCGCGCACACTGACGGCTCCTCGGCGGGCAGGAGAACGGTCGCGCAACCCGCCGCGCGCAGCGATCATTCGAGACAGCCGATTGGCTGTGCTGCCACCAGCTGCCGCCACCAGCTGCCGCCACCCGCGCGTCCATCGCTCGCCGTCCGTGCCAGCTACAATGAAATAGCGAGGCGCCACTGACTGACCGCGAGTTCTCTCATCGATACTTTCCGTTCTTCCGCTCTTCGTTCGACCAGATTTTATTTATTTGCCTAATGCTCGTTTTTACTATTGCAGATTAACTTCAAGTCTTCTCTCAGTTTATCTTTTTCATAATTTTAAGAATTAAAAAAACACAGATGTTCCTTTCCAATTTCAATGTATTTTGACTTTTATCTCGATTTAACTTGTTTTTAATCTTCTTCTAATTCTAAGAATTCTAATTCTAATTCTTAGAAAAGATAAAAAATAAATTAACCTAAGATTAAAGTTAATCTACATTAGTAGAAATAGATCAGAGTAAATCAAGATTAAAATATAAATCTGTACATTGATAGAGATATTAATTAAGTTTCACACTTCTCGTGTGTTCGAAATGCAAGAAAAATGTTGAGTCGTTCTCTAGGTTTTGAGAGATAAATGGAAATAGAAACTGAACAAAGTACTCGGAGAGTATATTTATTTTGCTTATTTTTTAACGTGATAAATGATTAAGTGCAATAATATTTGTATATAAAATTGTTTATAAATCCCGCATACAACATGTGATAGATTGAGAAGAAACGCATGTATAACTCATACATATAACTCAACAGCCTTCCATTTTTTTTCTCAGAAATTAATAAATATGTAACGAAATATTGTACATAATGTAATCGGTTAACTACGCCACGTGCAACACTCCGTATTGCTGCATTCTGTATGAAAGAACTATAAAAGTTACAATGATTTACATTTTTTTCTTCCTTACAGCTAATTCTTAATTCTGAACCTACTTTTATACAGCTCTATTTTCTCGTTTCTGTATACGATACATTAATGCTTTGCAGTTTTATGTTGAACTATACTTAATCTAATGTTAATTTATACAATATAAAGTTTTTACACAGTTCTATTATAAATATTCAAATTAATGCATGACTATAATCAGCAAAATTGTACTTTGAGTTCTTCAAGATTTCTGTAAATAATAAAAAAAAAGTTCTTTTTATATTAAAAGCCATTAGAATGAAAACATGATTTCCACATTTATAATGAAAAATAGTTTAGATCATAATGTTCATAATCTTTATATATATCTTTATATATAATCTTTATATATATCTTTATATATAATCTTTATATATAAATTATAATCTTTATATAAATAGATTTGATTAATCACTCCGTTTCTCAACTGTAAATATAATAACTAAACATTAATATAATAATGGAAAATAATTTGCTTTTCAATTAAAACAAGCGACGTATATAATAATTTATATGTTAAAAACTAGATGAAACAATAAATTAGCGGCATAATGCTCTGAGAATGATTTCGATTAAATGTCAATTAATTATAAATTTATCAGTGATAATCAGTGAAATTTATTGAAATTGACAAACAAAATAGGTTACTCCAAAGTTCTTTACTATCATTATTTGTTGTCCATAATATAATTTTTCTGTGCATTAAACAAAAAAACTGTTTATTATATATGTAAATGTAAACAAAATATTATAGATAAAATGCGGATGTGTCGAATGTTAAATGGAATAAAAACGGAAGTATTTTTTTTTAAACACAAGATAAGAATCATGATCTGTCTCCGTTATACTTTCTGCTAGACGTTATCTATTCTTTTCTTTTTTGTGTGAAATAAAACCTATTACATAAACAGACGTTTATCTGATATATTATTTTTATTTGAATTTTTACAATGGGAAGCTCCGTCAGTTTTGCAATCACAGTGCAAGCAATAGCTCGCCTTGCACTCGATCTTGCATATTCATGCATGTCGGTAGAACAGACCAATGATTAGAGATTGTAAAGAATGCTCTATCCAGACGTTGGTTTGTTATTCCATATAAACAGCAGCTGGTAAAGCTACCTTTTCGTTATCGCACATATTATATTTGAATTTGGCGATGAAACATTTGTGCATCAGTCGCTCGTTGTTTGTATCATATATGTATTTGTGTCAAATCGATGCTAAAATCATTTACCGTTTTTTCATCAAACTTTATATTAAATAACAATCGTAACCGATATCCTCGACTTTTTCTTAATACAGTACTGTAGCTTTTATAATTGATTATAATTAACGATTTTTAATATAATATCCAATTTTTTATCTTCTCCTCTTCGACGTTTTCACTCATACGAGAACATCTGAACGTAAATGTATGAGTTTTGATTGACAGCATATATCGCAAGCACGGTTGGAACGTCAACGGCAAATCGTTCGGTAACAGGTTGACGACGTTCTGAATTTTATTTTCCCTTCGCTCGACGTCAAGTCAATAGCCTTTGTCGCGTCTCAAGGGAACAACGTGCGATAATTCTGCATGCGGTTGTTTATAAGCACTTGTGTTGGAAAACAGGTTGAGAGAATTTGCAAATAACAGCAGCGCGAAACAATTCCTGCAGCTGACATTTGTTTAATCGCATATTCTTTTTTAGTAAAAAATATTTTTAAAATACACAGATGAATTCTGCTAGGTTGTTATAACGTACAATAATGATATTATCGTAGTCTGTAATTGGCTATGGCTTTAAATCTTATATCTTTAGAAATTATTACTTAAAAGAAAAATTTACAAATAATGTTTAAATTTAATTTTTCCGAAACTTTCTTGCACTGATTGAGAATTGGTTGAATCAACTAATCTCTAATTTAGATACGGTATACACATAAATCTTACAAATTTAATTATTATCTAACATTTTATTTGTATTATCGGAAACAAGTAAAATGTTACAATAATCAAAATTTTTGCTTCAACTAAATTATTTTATTGCATCAACCAAAGATTGATCAGCCCATCTAACAAGAGATTAGAGTTGATTCAACGAAATGGGATTCTCAATATATAGTAGTTATATTTTAAGTTGCGAATTTCGGGACATCCTGTATAATCAATTATCAATTAAATTTTATTGACTAGACATGTAACAATTCGGTAAATGCGAAGGTCGATCGGTATATACAGTTCATCTCTTGTAGCAACATTTATACGGTGATCCAATGTTCGCGTAGCATACGAAATACATGCCATGTATGTGTTGTTATCGACTTTATCGAAACTTCTTTCGTTATTCACTGGGCTATCGGAATTGGGATAAACAACCGGCAACGTTGGCATTTACTTCTTCTGGCATCTGTGAACGCTGTATGGTTTGACAGACAACACAGTAGTACCCACTCATCATCCATTCAACAAGTGTCTTCTTCATTTGTGGCTAAAATGAATGGAACTGTGCACTACGCTATGGTGGCTTTGCGTCAGACATCCGGTTGCAAGATCATTGCGGATTATTCCACGAATCCAAACCCGGTCTATCGTACTATCGCTCTCAGTACTATCGATGGTCTAAAAACCGTCGAGGACGACAAGATCAGCGTCGATAACAGTAGGTAAGATTTGCATATCATAATAATCATGCATATCATAATAATTACTTGCAAAGAATATGTAATTTTTTAATTTATTTTAAGAATAATAACACGTAATGAAAAGCAATAGTATAATCAAATATATGCATTTCCAACAGCACAGAGAATAGATTTCACGTACTAAACTTGTTTTTGACTTTAAAAAGTGCGTTAAATTGTAAGATGTATTATGAGACACATAGTCATCAATTTTTCTTGTAATGACGTTCACTAAAATCAAGTGTAATAGGTCGCAACAGATTAATTAACCGATAAGATTAACATGCCTCATTACTTTTATTCTTTTCAGTCAATTTCTTTTTTGAATTTATTGAGTCGCAGTTTACCAATAGAAATTATTTTGTAATTATAATGTTATCAAGACACTGAAGATGACCTTAATTAGAGTTGAAATGTCTGTTATTCATATTACTGACAACCGTCATATCAAGCACTTAGATCCAGCTTGGCTTTCGTGTTTACTACTTTATATTTAATCTTCAAGCAAACTTGTGATTTATTATTATTTGTTATTGTTTGATCTGCGCTGCAATGAGTAAAAAATATAATTCTTTCATAGATATACGGTACATGTGCTGATTGGGGAACTTTACTATATTTGTTTGACATCGAAAGTGAACTGCCCCTCATCAGCGATATGGGTAGAATCGTGCTCTCAAATATTTTTGCAGAGGCTACGGGCAGTTTATAAAGATTTACCATTAGCAGATTTGTCGAAAAATTTAATCAATCTCACGGAAGATGAGTTCTCAAAACCATTAAAAAAAATAATTGTAAGTGATAAAATAACTTTATATATAATAGGGAAGAAAGTATGGAATTTAAAAAAAAAATTTTTTTAATCTTTTAAAAAAATAGAAAGAACACAGTTTATAGGTTTATAAGTTACTTGTAATAAAACTTGTTCAAACTTTTTGACTAGTTTTAATAATCGACAATAATGAAACTGTAACACATTAAAATATATTAGTAATTTTATGTTCCATAATAGCCTCTCTCTAAAAATAAATGATATTATCATTCATAAATTTATGCAGATAAATTGTAAAAAATATCAATACATATAAAGAATAAAACTGGTATTATTTCAGGAAGAATATAATCAAGGTATTGGCTGTAAGAATCTGACTTCAAAGTTAGAAGAAGAATTGATTGAAGTACGTCGCATTTTGATGAATGGAGTCCAAAAGTTGATTGATAGGGGCGAAAGGTTGGACGAACTCATCCGAAAGACGCAAAATCTCGAAATTTCGGTGAGAACATCTCGATGTTTTTCTTTTCTCTTTTTCGTTTCCTTTTTGTATTATATGTTGCCTTTTGATAGGTAGAAGAGCTCATAAACATGAAATATGAAACATCAATCAAGAATGAATAAATCATAACAATCGTGCAATATTTTCCATTAATACTCGAGTTAATTAAAAATTATCAATTCGTTAATAATTCACGCAAATTGAATCACTGATGTAATTCCGTTAATACAATCTTCTATATGTATATTTATGATCTCTATAATGAGAAACATTGTTACACCGAATAATCGCAACCGTACAAACGCAGTTTTTAGTAACTTTAATTATAATTGCAAAAGCAAAAAAATAAATTAACCTTAAATGCAGGGTCGCATAACTGACCTCACTAAATTTACAGCAATCGCTTATCCACTCCAATACGTAATATTTGTGAATATTTTTATTACAGTCGCGGGACTTCCACGTAGTGTCAAGGGCTCGGCAAAAGAAAAATAGCAACTTGAAGATAGTAATCGTAACGTCAATCTTCATGCTTATGTTAGTTGTATTTCTTACAGTTTTTATATATTGTTTTGAAGTTTACTGTAATTCTTATGCACATGGAACATTAATGACTACTCGAACTAACTAGAAAACTTTAAATTAGCGATATATATTAGCGTTACTCGTCCAGCTCGATTTACCCTTTATAGTTTTGCATTCATATATTTTTTGTATTTTAACAATAAATATACCTTGTCTTGTATGACAGTCATTATTTCATTATAATAATTATAATACAAATTAATTAACGCATTATAATACAAATTAAACGTGCAAGCTGAAATTATAGGTAGATATTTGCAATATTATCACAAAATATACATTGATTACTTTATTAATGATAATCCTTGTTCAATTAATTTTTCTTTCAATTTAAAATTTGTGCCTTGAAAATTAATAAAATTGGATTTATTTTGTCTGATAATATAATACTTATTAAAAAATTTATGCGTTGTCAATCGATCTAATATACGAACTGTCAAAATACACGATGACAGCTGTTCATACACATCGTGTATTGAGATCATCAATCAGCATTATAAAAAAAAAGTTACAATTAATAAGTTACAATTAGATACGATCGACTTCTGATGTCTTTTTTAAGAGTGTACAAATAAAAAAAAAATTATAATCTCTGATTTTTAATATTTATCAAAAGCTATTTCTAAATAATTCGACATTTAAAAGAATGGCGTCGCAATTAGGATTTGCGATTAATTCCGTTGAATTGCAGAATGTAATTAAAATTAAACACGATTTAGCCGAATCATTAAAACTTAAGCATTTTATTGCGGCTCGTAAGATTCAGGTTAGTTAAAATCCAACTATATTAATGCGAGATATATATTAATTAATACATATATATTTGAAGCTTCTGACATTTAGGCTTGGTTCCGTGGTATCATTACCCGCAATCATCTTCGTAAACTTCACGAAAAGGCGACGATTCTGCAACGTCATTGGCGCGGTTATTATACCAGGATGTTCATCATTAATCAGTATTTGGTCATACGTGTTCACCAGATGTGGCAAGATCATTACAATAATATGGCAATGAGAATCCAAGCCGTTTGGAGGGGATATTGGTCTAGAAAAACAAAGATCAATTTTTTGCAGTTTCAACGATGGTTGAAAAATGTTTATATAAAGAACAATGAAACTTTAGAAAACATGCAAAGGTATGCTTTTGCACACGTCTTGTTGTACGCAATTTTAGCAACATACTTTATTTTGTAGATTTAGACAACGAGAGTTTGAGCATATGGAAAGTTTAATTGAACAAGAAGCAATGCTTTGGATTTTATTTATTTTGTTTAAGGTAAAATAATATAATTAATATGAGATCTTTGCAATTTACACATATACACCTTACTATTTATTATATAATTTAATATTTAAACATATATACATTATGTCCCTGTAAAGCTGCATCACTTGCTGAGAACAAAATGCCGTCCAGGTGTCATCACAAGAATTGATAAAACTCGCTTTATATACATCGAAGAAATGTTAAAGTGTCTCGAATACAATCAATATATTGCGAAAGTAAAAACTGTTTGCAAAGACTGTCAAATCGATCGTAAATGTTCCTTAATCTTTCGAAACACTTATTTTGAAAAATGTGAGAAAGAAATTCGTGAGTTTGAAAGAAGTTTGAGGTCTGGGAAAGTGCACATTTCTAAAAATATAGTTAATTAAATTTAAATTAAATTTTCTTATAAAATACAGTTAATTGAATCAATTACAATTCAATTACAATTCAATTCAATTATAATTTATAATAAAATAATCTCACAATTTTACAAACAGAAATGTATATCCAATCGTTTCACAATTTTATTAAATATTGCTTTTTTTTGTATCTTTGTAGATTAGTGTTTTAAAAAGGAAAAAGGAATTATGGTAAAGAATAAATTAAGCTATTAAAGATCACAAAAGAATAAATATTTCGGAAAGTGCTTACATCAAAATTTTATATATGTATGTACAACCAAATAAATTATACGAAGTTTAACATTAACAAAATGGAATGCCAATTAATCAGATTCGCTTAAACGGTCCAATCGCACATACACACACATACACACACACACACACACACACACACACACACACACACACACACA